TAAATTTACCAAAAAAAAAACCCATTTATTTCATAATGTATTGACTGCTTATATATCTCAGAATACAGTACAAAGAGCTTGGAAGTTCTCAGTCCCTTCTGCTGAAACTGTAATATCTGGTAGACCAGTTCATCCCTAGGGCTGAAATGAGGACCTATCCCTATCTCATTCTGAGGAGATGGCAATGAACATGGTGGAGAGATTGGATTGTGGTTTTGGTGCTACAAAGCGGGCATTGGTTATTTTGGTCTCCATCAACCCATCAAGGAACAAAATCAGTTTTGAGTGGCTTGCCCTTAGAAGGTTCAGAATTATTTTTTTCATACCCTTACTATGAATATGTAGGTTGTGAATTGTGCTCATGTAGGATATTTGTAGCTAAAAGTAAGGTAGGACATAACTGAGGCATATAATTGAGATCTTGATATTATGACTTTCACGTAACTATCTGCTTTACTATCTTAAAGGTTTCATAATGCTGTTACCTTTCGCCAGTATAGAGCTAGCAAATTCTGTCAAGGAGGTGGGTAAGCTCTTCAGAACATCGCTGAGACACCAAACTCCTCCGCAGCTGTCACTTAGCACCTCAGAACATCTCTGTGACATCAAACTCCACCACAACTCTCATTCAGAACCTCATTGTATCACAATGTCACCAATATCTACTGCAATTGTCATTCAGCGCTTCAGAACATCACTGAGACGCAAAACCCCACCACAACTGTCCTTTAGAACCTCAGAACATAGCTGTGACGCCAAACCCCACCAAAACTGTCATTTAGCACCTCAGAATATCACTAAGGTTGCGTTCACACTAGCGTTGTGTGCAGGCGGCAGAGAGGCATTTGGGAAGCATTTTTACGCCTCGGACAATTCTGCACATTGCAAGACATGGTGCTGTTCTAACGGGAGCGTTAGCGTCGTGGCAAAACGGACGCCTCTGGTCGAGTCAGGAGGCATTGAAGCCTCCTATTCTAGTCTAAGGTGCCATTCCGCAAAAGCCCGCCTGGCGTTTGCGGAGCGGTAACACCATTTAAACTTCATTATAGGCGTTTGTGGGGCATTTTTAACGTTCGGCAAACACCTAGCAACCGCCGCCAAACCGCGCATGCGGCGTTTGCCGAACGTTAAAAAACGCTCCGCAAACGCCGGACCAACACTTGCCAAACGCTTTAGGGGCGTTTGGCAAGCGTTGGTAAAACAGTCAAGTGTGAACGAGCCCTTACATCAAACTCTATCACAACTATCATTCAGCACCTCAGATAATCACTGAGACTCCAAAGTGCACCTCAGCTGTCATATAGCACCTCAGAATATCCTTGTAACATCTACATCACAACTGTCATTTAGCACCTCAGAACATGGGAGTGACACCAAACTCCACCACAACTGTCATTCGGAACTCAGAACATGGGTGTGACACCAAACTCCACAACTGTAGTTCAGCACCTCAGACCCCCTACCCCTGCCTTCCCATCTCGTTTCCTATACAGCCTATGAATTTCACCAAGACTCCAAGGACACTCAAATCAGACAGTGAAGGGGTGATTTACTAAAACTGGTGCAATCAAAATTTGGTGCAACTGTGCATGGTAGCCACTCAGCTAACTTCGGCTTGTTTAGTCAAGCTTTGGCAATAAAACCTGGACGCTGATTGGTTGCTATGCAGATTTGAACCAGATTTTGCACTCTCCAGTTGTACTAAATAACCCTCTGAGAGTCTGATGATATGCAAGGTGTGGCAACCCAGAGAAGCCAATCAGATGTCGCCCTGATTATTTGGTATGGGTTACCACTCTTGGCCTTTGCCCTTTATGTTGCTAAATTAAGCTTTTTATTGACCATTGCAGGACCTAGTAATCTATGGCTCTATGAAGAATTTGTGTAGGCTCTCAGTTCTGTCATCCATGGTTGATCTCTGAGTATGACGCTCCTGGGCTGAAACATTCCCACGTGTATCTTACTTAATCCATATGTGAAAGCCTCTTTGCACTTGGATGACATCACCTGTCAACCAGGCTATAGATAGTTACACTTTGCCTCCTCTTTCATGTGACCTACTTACTAATGGATGTCAGTCCAATTCCTTGATGTTAGCACTACCGAAAAGTACTCTTCTGAGTGCCGTGGGCACAGAGTGGTTAGGTTGGCCATAGACAGGCTCAAGGGATACTAATGACAATGATAATAAAAAAGTAGGGGACGTGACCTGTCCGTTGCATGAGGAAAGAAGATATAAGGCAAAATAAATTTCCATCTTGCTAGAGAACCTTCTCTGCAGAGAAGCTATTTGAGTTTTTTTACTAGCAAAAGTAATTGTTTCCCTCAAAATCCTAACGCTGACGTACAAAGCTGTCCACCATACTGCCCCGAACTACGTCACTGACCTAATATCCAAGTACCGCCCAACACGCACACTCTGCTCCTCACAAGACCTCCTTCTCTCTAGTTCCCTGGTCTCCTCCTCCCATGCCCGCCTCCAGGACTTCTCCAGGGTGTCACCCATCCTCTGGAACTCCCTGTCCCAACCCATCATATTATCACCTACTCTCCTCTCCTTTAGGCGCACCCTGAAAACCCATCTCTTCAGGGAAGCCTACCCCACCCCCTGCTAACTTGCCGACCTCCTCCACTCTTCCTACCACTCCATCCCCCACAGTTTTCTCCTCCTGTGCCACCATCCCCTCCCTCCTAGATTGTAAGCTTGAAAAAGCAGGGCCCTCGATCCCCTCATGTTTTGCATTGTATTGTTGTTGTTCTGTCACATGTTCTGTCCCCATTTGTAATGTACAGCGCTGAGCGAACTATTGGCGCTTTATAAATACTGTATAATAATAATACTGTAGGCGTGAGTTGCTGTGTACATAAAATCCAAAACCATAGCGATAGGCAATTAAAAAAAACACAAGCATATATGCAATGCAGTGCTTGGATAATCCCTACGTAACTATGTGGGCAGCTGGCTCCCACACCATTTTATGGCCAAACATATGGGGATGGCCCCCAAATTATTGCATCCAAGTGTTTCTAGTGAAGGGTACTAGTGATGCTACAGCATGCAAAGCCCTTTTAGAAGATTGTGTGCTTCCATCTATGTTGTAACATTTTGGTAAAGGCCAGCTTTTGTTAAGTCATAGTTTGACCAGTTTGGTGTGGAGGAACCTGAGTGTCCTGCACAGAGCCCTGGCCTCAACCCTACTGAATGCTACTGAATTGTAATGCCAATTGTGAGCTAGGTCCAGACCCCCTGCAAAATCTTGTGGAAAGCCTTCCCAAAGGAGTAGAGGCTGTGGTAGCTTCAAAGCGGGAGCCCATTGATTTTGGAATGGAGTAGGTATGATGGTCGGATGATAATAATTTTTGTGGCCGTATAATGTATATTCATATCCTCATCAGAATAAAATTTACCTACCTATAGTAAGGATTAAAGAAGAACCACAGGGTTAAAGAAGAACTCCCACAGCTCTCGCAGGTTTCTCCATCTTACCTCCATCTATTACAAGAGACAGTAGTAATGTGGTCAGAAGAAGAAACCAGTGAGAGCTGCAGGGGAACCCAGAAAATCAGCATCCCCAAAAGTGTAGATATTAGTAGAAGGTTTCTTAGCATTGGATTATAGCAACCTTTCTCAACCTTTTCAATTAAAAGGAACCCCTGAATTAACTTTCTGGTCTCAGGGAACCGCTGCTATAAATTACAATATCTACAACTTGTGGTCACTGAAAAGAATTACCTCCTTACAAATAGCTAAAAAAGATCAGTGGTGTCAGTGGGAAAATACCTAGGAGGCAGAAGATGCTCATTTCTCAAAGAGCCCCTAGCAACCTCTGGACTGGAGAAACTCTAGGGTTCCATGGGACCCTGGTTGAGAAACCGTGGATTATAGTTCAGCAGCACGGGCATCAGGAAAGGTGAGCATTTACTTACTTCTTTGTAGGTCTGCTGTAAAGCAGAGTAATGAGGTATACCCTCAATGTATTTCTAAATGTTTTGCTCTTAGAACAAAGGAAATACAGACTATATGTGGGAGGACTGCAGTCTTGTATAGAAAAAAAAGACACCTCCACCCCCTGATTCCAACATACGCCACAGATATGTTCACTTAGCTCTGAGTCCATGTGAAATAATTTTTGTACCGAACCATTGTAAGAAACGAACTGTAAATAATCTGTACTTTTGAATATATTATCCCTTTAATTATGTAGCTGTGCTGCCCGTTGTGCCTGATGGCTGAATCAGATGAGTGGGAACTGTAATGGCAATATCTCCTCTGTTCACACTGACTGTTGTGTAAACTCCACAGCCCCCTGATGGTGACTCATGCAAGGGATTCTGGGCTTTAGTGGGGCCTGGGCCTTTAGTCTCCTTTGCGGAAAATAAACATGCATGCAGTGGCCATGATATTGAAGCTGAACTGCAGGCAGATTATTAAAAAATCCATCTAACACAGCTATGTATTCCTTTGAAAATAAATGTATTTTAAATGCAGCTAGCATGGGCACCAGAATCCAACCTCTGATTAGCCTCCTGATGTGCCTTGTGCAACAGCACTCAGACTGGGAGGGGGGGGGGGGGGGGGCAGGACTGTGAGCCAGGGCTTTGTGTCATGCTCATGTTCTGATAGGGAACATGCCACCATAATGAGGGAGCAGAGTTGATGGCTTATTGAGGGAGATTTACTAAAACTGGTGCACTCAGAATCTGGTGCAGTTGTACATGGTAGCCAATCAGCTTTTAAATGCAGCTTGTTCGATTAAGATTTGGCAATGAAACCTGGAAGCTGATTGATTTCTATGCAGAACTGCATCGGATTTTGCACTCTTCAGTTATAAAGTGAAAAAAAAACTCATTGTGTTGCTTCTGTATTAGGCCTCATGCACATGGGCCTAATTTGCCCATACAGTCTAAAAAACAGAAATATATCAGCATCCAGGAGGCATTGGTGGTCCAAATCAATGGCAGGATGAAAAATGCTTTGGCAGCAGCGGCGGACTGACAACTCATGGGGCCCCCGGGCAATAGGGGATCATGGGGCCCCTGTGTCCTTGCCTAAACTCAAGAAAGCCTATGAAAAAGGTACCAGGGGCATCTCATGGGGCCCCCTACTGACCCCGGGCCCTCGGGCAGTGCCTGAGTTTCCAAATGGTCAGTCCGTCCCTGTTTGGCAGTATATGGCTGTTTGCACATCCAAGTAGCATTCACATAGAGGGCTCTAGGCATACAAGGACGTATGCCTCAGACACAGAAAGTCCCGCTGATAAAATTCGCAAAGACTGTGAGCTTTACCTGAATATCTCAGAATTTTTGAACTACAGCAGAGACAGCCATGAATTACACTTGTTAGGAAAAAGACAGTTTTGGCATGCTGGAATTCCTGATTATGTGCGTGACCCCATCGGAAGTCATCTTCCGTTCTCACCAGCGATAAGTAACAGGCGCACATTCCAGAAGGACTTGTACTTGTTAGATAACATTTGCTGACAATTTCCAATCCACATGCTGAGTAACAGAAGCAAGCGGATGGAACTGCTGGCCAGGCTCCAATCCCGACACTGTTTGATGTCTCCGAAATCTTCTCACCACCCCCTGAGGTGAAGGAATCTTCTCTCCCTATCCCGGCTGATACGAAACATACTTGTTCTTTTTTGCATATAGATAGGTAGATAGATAAAGCCCTTTGGAATTGTCTCTTTTGATTATTTTGTCTCGGATTTATTTTATGAAAAACAGCTTAATTCTGTCGCTCACTTCTGTATTCTTTAAAAGCCATAGAATTTGCCTTGCATACATGGTGGCCATGCCCTGAATTATTCTGGTCCAGGGTCTTTGGCCTCTTCCATACACTATTTCATTTGATGATTCCCAAAGAAGCTTGTTAATGCTCTGCTTCACTGTCCGATTCTAGGCCTTCATGCCCACAAACAAGGGTTAGCCATGTTTCTCTTTCTGTCGGCCAAACAGACTATAGCCGAGGCCTAAAAGAAGCCCTCAAAATCCATACAGGAAGTTAAGTTCCGCATAACCTTCATGTTAATTGACAAAAAGATGTTTAGAGTCCTCAATGACTCCCAGCCCACATTTCTCAAAACATTGGACTCTTGGCTTCATTATGCCGTGTCTTTCTTGGACCTGGCAAGCCTAACATCGCTTTAATCACCGCCTCTCTTGCTTCACCAGATTGAGCCCAAGCTTTGGGGGGGGGGGATCCCCAGTCTCCTGTTCTTGCCCCTACCTTCCCCCCATATTAGCCACCTCTTGTCCCTTTTGACCAACATTTATCCTCTCTCTCCTCTCTTCCACACATCCCTCTATCCCATAATGACTTGCCTACCCATTTTAGCAGATGTATTCATTCTTACTATTTGTATGCAGAACTACTCAGTTACATGTGATCTACCTTTTGATTGATTAAACGCCTTCTAATGCAATAGCCCCTGCGGGGGCATAACGGTGTTTTATGAAAACTGCAATAAAATCCTTGAACAAGAAAAGCCATACAATTTGTTTTCAATTCATCCAGTATATATTCTTAAATTCTCTTTTATATTGAGTTGCCCTCTGCCATTGGAAAAGTGTGACTCCAACCAAAACAGCTTTTCTAGATTTGGGTACAGCATGGACAGGGTTAGAACCTTTAGCAGGTTGTTATTTCTGTATCCCACATCAAAGAGATTTCCAGGTTCTTTCTGTGCCCAGAAACCCAACAGAAAGTGACTGTGTTCTATCCAAAATGCGGGGAAATCTCACCTTCTCTAGTCGTCACCAGAACAAGTGCCCTTCCTCTTTCTGGGACTACTGTAAAATTGTGGATTGTGTCCTTGCCCAAAACAATGGTCACCAGGACAGGTTAGATCCTTCAAGACCCTTTCAATGTGATCAGTCCAGCACCAAGCTATGTTGAAAGGGAGCCTTGAACTCCAGAAACATATTGGTTTGTTATGAGACAAGAACCTAAATAAAATTTAATCTGAAATGTATATGTTCTGCTTTTGGCACTTTCCTTCTTGCACACTCAAAATGAAAACTTTCCAGGGGTTCTAAGGCTTCCTTGCTCTATCCAAAACTAGAAATAAAAATGTTTTAACTGGAATTCTACTTTAAAATCAGGCGTACAAAGGGCGTTCCTGCTGTAATACCTAATGGGATGGAGAGGGAGGCATTCAGGTGGTCATGTCCTCTAGTAGACCAGAGAGAACAATGGCATATCTGCAGAACTGTTGGCTTTCAGTGTGGCTTCTCGGCTATGGTTGCCCTGTAAATCACAACCCTGGCATTCTCTGTGGCAGTTCTGGATGTTTTCTATCTGCTTTCAGCTAAGCAAACAATCACAGGGAACTGAACATACCACAGCAACCTGCAGCCCAAGCTTTCATTCCCTTCCCAGTTTTGACCATCTAATCAAGACATTCCATAGCAATCTGCCACCCAAGCTTTCATTCTCTTCCCAGTTTTGAGCATCCTGTCAAGGTTGAAACCACCATAATTCCAGTTGATAGACATTTTCATACAATTTCCACCACAATTTTGATTGCTTGCTCAAAGAAAGCAGGAGCAGTCAAAACGTTAGCAGCTTGTTGTGGGCCCTCCATGACCATTAAATTATTTTTTTCAGTCAAAGCCTGATGAACATAATTCGAACTTGCTACAGATTTGCCATGGGTATGGTCAGCTCAAGACCAATTATGAGTACAGTACATGTGAGGATACCATACATGTACTGTAAACATTACCTACTTTAAATACTTTTGAGAAATTTCCTCTTCTGCCCTATCTTGGACAGATGTTGGTTGGGATTTTGTGCAAACTGGATTGTGTTAATTTATATAACGTTAAATAATACCAGATTCATATAACATAATACATAAAATTAATCAATAAAAAGGAAGGTCACCAAATAAATTATTATAAAAAGTCCATGTGATATGCAAAAGTCCACAAATAGTGCAGTTGAAACAATGATCCACCACCAAGGCTCCTGAAATATATGCCGCACTAGATCAAGAGCCACAACCTAGCGGACAAAAATGCAGGCTTACCAACTCAATATGACCCTCGAACTCAGTGGTCTCTAAACTGCAGCCCGGGGGCCAGATGTGGCCCTGTGCTTTATTTTATCTGGCCCTTGGGGCATTATTCTCTCACTGTCAGCAACAGTGGGGCATAGTTTGTGCCACTGACACCAACAATGGGGTACTATTCCTCCCACTGACACCAACAATGGGGCACTATTCCTCCAACTGACACCAGCAATGGGGCACTATTCCTCCCACTGACACCAACAATGGGGCACTATTCCTCCAACTGACACCAACAATGGGGTACTATTCCTCCCACTGACATTAACAATGGGGCACTATTCCTCCCACTGACACCAATGATGGGGCACTATTCCTCCCACTGACACCAATGATGAGACACTATTCCTACCTCTGATACCAATGATGGAGCACTATTCCTCCCGCTGATACCAATGATGGGGCACTATTCCTCCCGCTGATACCAATGATGGAGCACTATTCCTCCCACTGACACCAATAATGAGACACTATTCCTACCTCTGATACCAATGATGGGGCACTATTCCCCCCGCTGATACCAATGATGGGGCACTCTTCCTCCCACTGACATCAGTCATTTATTACTGCCACTGACACCAGGAGTTTTTCTACTCCCGCTGGCACAGTCCGGCACCACTAAAGAATGAAGAACAATAAACTTGTTTAGAAAGTCTGGAGACCCCTGCTCTAACTAAACAGGAGTCATAAATGGAATGTGAAATAAGGGTCCACCACGACTACATCTCCCTTGCTGTCAACCACTTACATATACTGTATGTCTCCCTTCTGATCACCATCCAGTAGGTAGTCAAAGAAAAGAACATAGACTCCACATAATTCAAAATCCTTCTGCGCTACGTGTTTCATCATACGTGACATCCTCCAGGCACACATTACATAAGCGCATATAAAAAGGGGCGCAGCGCTAAAACACAATATAGCTAATATACATGCATATATAGCAAATAGAATAAGTGATAATAATGTGCCAAGAACTGTGCAAAAAAGCAATATAAGTCCTTAAGTAATAGATGGTGACTCAAAAAACGTGCGTCTTCCGGTGATCAGAATAATTGAATCATGCACTCACCAGATGCATAATTCAAATATGCATATAGATGATATCCCGATATCCAAGCGGAGTTATCTTAAAACCGGATAAGGTCATCATCTGGGTACATCAGTCCGTCCAGGTTTCTCCTTATGGATCGTGTGTTTCCACACTAAAACACCTCTCAGCTGTCCCCTAGGTGGCTCTGCAAGTGATGGACTCAGCAGGGTCCCAAGAAAGAAAGCCAGGATGGTGTGATATCGTTTTAAATAAAATTTAATGATCCAAAACAAAAACAAGGATAGCATATACAAAACTGACCATAAAGGTGTACAAAGATGGCCGCTCCATGCGGTGGCGTGATGTCTGGGGTATGCTGCTCTTACCCTGACGCGTTTCGTGCCATATGCACGTATTCATAGGGAGTGTGTCAGCTAACCAGACATCTGCTCCTAGCCCTGTATAAGTAGTAAATGGCAATCGCATAAGCGCGTCCGCCATTTTCTCGGCGCCCTCGCGCGCATGCGCAGGACCGACATCGCTACGACGTCTGCATCATAGTCCAGCGCCATTTTGTTGTGGTCTTAACTATAACCACCGGCGGCTACGATACCAGCCGCAAACACAGCTGAGTGATGGACATGATGTCATTCCACCATAGTCCATAGCAGCTGTTGGCCATAATAATACACACAGGGCAGAAATAAAACACAAAGAATACAGTGAAGACACCCAATAGATCCATACCAAAACGGTTATTATGAAAACTATAAACAGTAAATACATATATAAAGATGAATTAACATCGATATATGTTAAATGCATGAATGCTGGTAAATGCATGTTCCTCAAAATTATGCCAAACTTTACATGTTGCAAATAACTATGTCATAGTCATAAGGTGTCTCCAGTGTAGATATACAATAAAATACAGTTAAAAATAATAACACAAAATATATATTGAGGTATCTGAACACATAATATATAAAATAAAAACACCAATATACATGGAATACATATTATCCATACAGACGAAAATGCATAAGTAAATAGAGGCTCACAATGACCAAGAACCTCATCAAGGTAAACCACATGATTAGATATAATGTGTAATATAAAAAGACTCATAAATACAAGGTTGCACTGTATTTACAGTTCATGATAAGTTAAAAATTAATTCGTAATTTAAAAAATATATATATAAAAGATATATTTAGGTTATATAGAAAAGGGTTATGATGAAAAGAAATTGGATAGTACTATTAAAGAGGTAACCAATTTGGAGAGAGAGTCAATTCTATATGGAGCTAATATGCAGAGACAACAGAAAATATGCCCATTTGTAACTGGCTTTTCAATTCAACATAAGGCTGTTTCCAAAATAATTAAGGCAAATTGGAAAATATTGAAAGCCGATCCTGTTTTGACTGATTTCTTGCCTGATAAGCCTGAAATAGCATTTAGAAAGGCATCAACATTGCGAGACAAGATAGCCCCCAATGTCGTTAATCCCCCTAACAGTTTTTTCCTTTTTCTCAGGGCTTAAAGGATTTTTTCCTTGTAATAAATGTATTATTTGTAGATGTAATGGAATTAGAAAAAAGAGTATTGATAATTTCAACTCAACAGTAACAGGAAGAAGCTATGATATTGATGGCTTCATTACGTGCAATAGTAGATTTGTGGTCTACTTATTGCAGTGCCCGTGTAGGAAACAATATATTGGAAGAACTACGAGGAAATTAAAAGATCGTTTAAGAGAACATGTCAGTAATATAAAAAAGAGGTACAAGGAGCATTCCTTGTCGAAACATTATCGTTTATTCCATAATAAGGACCCCACTTCACTGACGTTTGCTGGAATTGATATAGTTAAGACCCATTGGAGGGGCACTAATAAAAAGAGATCAGTCTCGCAGAAGGAATCTAAGTGGATTTATGAATTAGACACGTTTTATCCTAAAGGGCATAATGTAGAGTTTGACATTAATAGTTTTATTGATAATAGCTAATTTTGGCAGTTTATATGTTGCCATCTCACATCTTCATTTACCTAAATTAAGTCACTCATTTTTCGCTATCTTATTCCATACTAATTTATACTGGATTTTTACTATTATTCATTTGATGAGCTCATTATTAACTATTATTATTGTTAGAAATCACTTATCATCTCAACGCTTGATACCTAAATATATCTTTTATATATATATTTTTTAAATTACGAATTAATTTTTAACTTATCATGAACTGTAAATACAGTGCAACCTTGTATTTATGAGTCTTTTTATATTACACATTATATCTAATCATGTGGTTTACCTTGATGAGGTTCTTGGTCATTGTGAGCCTCTATTTACTTATGCATTTTCGTCTGTATGGATAATATGTATTCCATGTATATTGGTGTTTTTATTTTATATATTATGTGTTCAGATACCTCAATATATATTTTGTGTTATTATTTTTAACTGTATTTTATTGTATATCTACACTGGAGACACCTTATGACTATGACATAGTTATTTGCAACATGTAAAGTTTGGCATAATTTTGAGGAACATGCATTTACCAGCATTCATGCATTTAACATATATCGATGTTAATTCATCTTTATATATGTATTTACTGTTTATAGTTTTCATAATAACCGTTTTGGTATGGATCTATTGGGTGTCTTCACTGTATTCTTTGTGTTTTATTTCTGCCCTGTGTGTATTATTATGGCCAACAGCTGCTATGGACTATGGTGGAATGACATCATGTCCATCACTCAGCTGTGTTTGCGGCTGGTATCGTAGCCGCCGGTGGTTATGGTTAAGACCACAACAAAATGGCGCTGGACTATGATGCAGACGTCGTAGCGATGTCGGTCCTGCGCATGCGCGAGGGCGCCGAGAAAATGGCGGACGCGCTTATGCGATTGCCATTTACTACTTATACAGGGCTAGGAGCAGATGTCTGGTTAGCTGACACACTCCCTATGAATACGTGCATATGGCACGAAACGCGTCAGGGTAAGAGCAGCATACCCCAGACATCACGCCACCGCATGGAGCGGCGGCCATCTTTGTACACCTTTATGGTCAGTTTTGTATATGCTATCCTTGTTTTTGTTTTGGATCATTAAATTTTATTTAAAACGATATCACACCATCCTGGCTTTCTTTCTTGGGACCCTGCTGAGTCCATCACTTGCAGAGCCACCTAGGGGACAGCTGAGAGGTGTTTTAATGTGGAAACACACGATCCATAAGGAGAAACCTGGACGGACTGATGTACCCAGATGATGACCTTATCCGGTTTTAAGATAACTCCGCTTGGATATCGGGATATCATCTATATGCATATTTGAATTATGCATCTGGTGAGTGCATGATTCAATTATTCTGATCACCGGAAGACGCACGTTTTTTGAGTCACCATCTATTACTTAAGGACTTATATTGCTTTTTTGCACAGTTCTTGGCACATTATTATCACTTATTCTATTTGCTATATATGCACGTATATGCTGCGCCCCT